CGTGTAGCCATTTTGAATGTGTTTAACATTTATTTGCAAACTAAACTGTTATTACAGATATTAAAATTTATGCGATTAAAAAATTGTATGGGTTTTTTTGATACAGGTAATTAAATATATAAAAAAAAATACAACTACTTGACAAAATCCAGGGAAAAAATAAATATATGTAACATAAAAAAATTAAGCTTAAAGTGATCATGTATAGAAAAATTTATAATTGTAATTTTATAGGTAAATCAATATATATAAAAAAAAACTTATAAGGTCTTAAATACATAAAACAGAACCCTTCATTATTAAATAATAGTTTCAGCATGTGATAATTCCTTATAACTTTCATAAAACTAATTTATTAAATCATGATTATTCTATGAATATTTATTTAATAAATTAGCATTATGAAAGTTTCAGTGTGTGATAAATAATAGTTATATATAAGAGGTTAATAGTAAAAGATTGAACTTGACAGAATGGGGATTAGCTGCTTAATAATTAGTACATAAAACGGAAGTTAATAAATTGACCCAATTTATATTTTGCTTAATGCTTATCATCATAAATTACAAAAATAATTCATCACAAATGCTGTATATGGTAAGTCTTGTATTTGTAAAGCACACGGTTATGATATTTACAACATTGTGTTATTTAATAGCTCTTGCAACTCAACATACTAGGAAAGATGGCAACCAAGTATTCAACTTTACCATTAGATGGCAAAAATCAGTTATTCTCGATTGCCTCTAAAATATTTGATACAAAACTCCTGTAAAGTTGTCATCAAATGCCAAAAAAAAACTTATCTAATTCTACTGTAAATTAATGTTTCTTCAAAGAGCTATCTAAATGGAAGAGCAAAGAGATCAAGAATAAATCTGTTTAAGTTTATTTTCCCCTCTAAAATTTGATTATTAATAATTTCATTTTACTTAAGTGAGCGCACAAATTCAAAATGAAGACCCTTAAAGATCCTTAAATCAAAGCATAAGAATACCAAACAGATTAATACATTGTCAAAATGACAAACAACTCAATGGATTTATCCTAAACTTCTAAGCAATGCTTAGAAATAAAACAGTGTATTATAACTGTTTCTTTTCTATCATGTAACACTTGACAATAGTAAAATATGTTTAAAAACCATTGAATATTTTAGATTCAAACTACCACTACACAATATATATATATAATGAACAGTAGAAACTCAATAATCCAAAACAGTTAAGAAAAACTAAAGGAACATAGAAGGTGTACCGTCATGTATTATTTTCCAAATGACTGCAGTATTAAACTGGGCTACTTCTCTGCAGTTATTTTAAATTAATTTATAAATAATTTGTCGCTAGAGACAGGCGTTAGGCACCATCTCTTATTAAATTTAATAAGAGGTGGCAACTAATGCCTGTCTGTAGTGACAGTAACCCAGTTTAATATGGCAGTCATCTGGCATATTACTAATATATCAAGTTTTGTGATCTTTGTACCATTGTGAAACTAAATATGTATAACATTATGTTAAATTTTAAGTAAATTAATTTACTTTCAAAATGTAATAATTGCATTACAGTATTTATAGTTCACAAAATGTAAATGCACAGTGCTGAATGTACCCAACGTACAGTACAAAAACATAAGTTTCTAGATTATCTGAAAGACCATTCCCGTCAAGTTCGGATAATTGAGTTTCTACTAATATGTATATATATCAAGCTAATTTTAAATTGCTTAATTTTCTTGATATTTCATTACAGAGAATTTAAAAACATTTAAAGCTTAAAAATTGTTAATTATCAATTGTAAATAAAAAAAAAGTGTTATAAATTGATATTAGATGAGTTCATCAGAATGGAAAGTTTGTATTTGAAATGTTTGTATCTCAAATAGTTAAATTATGAATTTGTCTAAAAAAATTTTTTTTGTTAAAGGCTGTTGATACAACAGATTTATTTTTGTATAAAAAAAAATAATTTAAAAATTATTTTCAGTACATAAAGATATGGATCACCTCAAATNAATTTGTCTAAAAAAATTTTTTTTGTTAAAGGCTGTTGATACAACAGATTTATTTTTGTATAAAAAAAATAATTTAAAAATTATTTTCAGTACATAAAGATATGGATCACCTCAAATATTTATAATATAATCTATATGATTTTTAAAGCATATATAGTATATACGATAACATCTATAATCCGATTTACTAGAATAACCTAACGGTCTGTTTGATTTTATCTGTCATAAGCGACTGGTATGTTTATATCCAGATTAATTAATGGCCCTGGAAGTAAAGATCAGACAGACGTCCGGACGGCATAATGTGGAACACAACTGCATGGCAAGCGGGAATTGTGGATTCAAGTCCCGCTTCGAATAAATTCTTTTCTTCCAAAGTATCCTATATTAAATTAAAATTTATTTATAATGATTAAACTTATTGAGAGATGGAAACCTAACTGCCTATCTGTAGCCAAACTACTTTGTTTTGGATTATTAATTAAAGCACTTCAAAATGGTCTGCTAGATTTTTATTGGACTATTCTGTTACAATATCTGAAATAACATTAAAAAATTGAATGTAATGTGAATTAATATGCCTAAAACTTATGTCAAGTATTACTTCTGAAATATTTTTAACAACACAACAATCAAGCAAATGCAGAAAGACTAATTACAGGAGTGACCTGAAATGATTTTGAACGTTTCCTAACCGAAAACAAATCTGGAATCAGAATTAATCTCTCTCTCGGACTAATTCATTTAAAATACATTTGATTAATTCTGGTTATAATTTTGTGTAAAGATATTAGTTTGAAAGAACGTCGACATTTTGTTAGATAGTCCCAATATTTTCTCAATATTAGAGCCAAAAAATTTTTAAAGACAGATTAATAATAAAATTGACTTTTTTTTACAGTCTTCATCCACCATTGGAATATTTTGTGTTTGATTTTTAGTTATTGATAATTAAAGAAAAGTTTTTAACTAGTTAACTACTAGTTTGCAATTCACTTCCTTTAAAATAATAATTTGTCGTCTCAATGTACAATAATCCTCAAACTAACGAATGAAAAATTTGTATTACTACTACTATTTAAATTTTGAATCATCCTGATTTTTATAGTAAAATGCTACTGTATGATAAATACCCACGCACTGTACATACATATTAAAACAGAATGTATACTCTAAATGTTGTATTAATTTCTCACTTTGACAAACATTCAGCATTGGCAAAATTGCATTCATCAAAACAACAAATTTCTATTGGCGTATAGTTTAGTTTTGTAATATTTATTGCTAGATTGTGATTAAATTTTTTATGTTAAGATGAGCTGTCCTGAACACTTCTTAAAATTAAAAAAAAAAAATTTACAAACTAACAAATCACATTTTTTAAAGTCAAATAATTCAATTAATAATTTATAAAAAAACATTTAATATTTATTGAATTGTTTATAATTTTAATACTTAATATTTATTTAACATTTTTAAAATACAAAATACTACTTGTATTTTCTTAGAGTAAGATTTAATAATTCATAATTTTAAGGGGGGAAAAATGAATTTCAAATTGAAATATTTTAGTATCTAAAAGGAAAACAAGTTTGAATTAACAATTATTAACAACTCAATGTTTAATTTGCATTATTGCTTTGAACCGATCTTATGAGACAAACAATTTTTTTTCTAGTCGAAATTGCTCGCATTTTTAATTGGAATTATTATTATTATTTTTTTTTAATAGAAAAAATCTGACAACAATGCACTAAAACAGTGAGTTGAAATTATGATAGGAAACAGCTCGGCGTAGGGAATAAATAGAAAACAAAAATTGTAATCCCTACAAACCTAGCTATCACACCACAGCAACTGCTTAGCCCTGTTGTGACAGGGTGTTTAGGTACAGAATCATCGTCATGCATTATTTCCTTTCGGCAAAATAAACGTTACAGAAAAAAATATATGCAAATAAATGACACCAACAGCAATCAGTTTAGTAAAAGCAGCAAAGCTTTAATCCTCAGCAACAGCAGGCACTACAGGCAACAGAAACAATTCCTACCTAACATGGGATGGTTTCATGCTCTAAACAATCACAGGGACACACATGTACATGGACATGATCAATAATAATAATAATAAAAAAAAGTCAAATGAACTAATATTTTGCATTCAATCCTTTTTTTTATATCCATAGAAAGAAAAACTTTCATTTTTTGTAGTGCTGTTTCCACTTCTCACCACAATTTAGTTTATTATAAAAAAAAACTACTATGTGAAGCAACATACAGCAATGGTGCAAGATAGCAAAGTTTTAGGAATCATACAAGAATGAAATAAATGGCCTTTTAACACAACATTCATTCACAACATTCAAATTAATCACAGTAATACATGCCAATTACTGGCATTCCTATCTCAGCATTGTTTGGCCAGAATAAATAGAAAATCTTTGTACCACAAAAATCACTGTCTGTTTAAGAATGGCCAAAGCTGAGTACATGATGTGCACCTGAATGGTATTGTTCATAGGAAAAGTCCAGCACTTATTTACTTTTATACAATAATATACTGGTAAAGAAAGGCAACACCACATGCCACATGCTGTCTGTTTTTCTAATTTGCACTCAATGGAATGCAGAACATGCTGGTAACTGCACTAGAATAAAAACACCATTCCCTGGCTTGATTGGCTGCATTGGCAAATATCACTGGTTGTGTCTTTGGTCCACCAGCTGTAATCTTGATGCATTGTAGAGAACAAGATGCACAGGAACTGGATTGGATTGAACAAGTACACAAACTAAATGGATGCAGACCAGCAAAGGAATGCCAAAGTACCAGCCAAGCAACACGAAAGGGTCTAGTCATTTACCCCCGTTTAGCTGGTTACTTAGACAAACCTGCTTGCTGCTGAGACTGGGGAGGGGTTGGCTGTTGCTGGTGCTGTGGTGTAGCAAAAGCGGGGGTCTGGCCTGGATTCAACGAGTTGACACCTGGTTGAGGCTGCCCCGTGAGACGTGACAGTATCCCGCGTTCGGACATCTGGAGACGTTGCGCCACGGGCGGTATTCGGGCAAGGGTGGCGGGTAACCTGCTGACATCTGATTTCATATCACTCAGAAGTTCTTCTAATTGATTCAGAACTGAAAGAAAAAAATTGTTATTCGTAATTAACAAGTATCACAGATGACAACTAAAACTTTGCATATTATAAGTTGTATCTATTGCCACCATTCAATATCAAACAATTCTTCAATCTTTGAAATTAGTTTAGATTGTAATTAATAATAAACACTTCTTTGAAATATGTGGTATTCAATGATTTTCTTACAAAGTTTAAATTTATTACTGTTTAAAAATAGAATCAATAATAAAAACCATGCAAGTACATTATAGCTAATTTATATACAAATACAGAAAACTCTGAATTATTTCTTTAAGAAATATTCTGTAATCAAAATAAAAAACTAAATATAGTGAAATTCCGTTAATCTAGCAATGTCCAGATGGATGCTGTGCCGATTTATCAGACTGCAGAAATTTTTCCAGTGTTTGTATCCGGGGCCAGGGGATTGAAAATTTCTGATATCTTTATGTGTAAAACTATACAGATCTGCCTGTACATCTCTGAAATTTATAAGGCTGCCGACAAATATACCACTATTAACTTTTACAATGTAGATTCCTTCCCCAGGCATGGAAGTTGTTCTATGAATTGTAAACTTACTATCCTCTCCTCTTTCTTTTTCTTATGTCATCTTTCCTCTTCACACATGTACTAAATCCCTTGTTGTTTCAACAGCTACAAGGGTCATTTAGTCTGATGATGTCTGTTCAACATGGGCAAAAATGTTAGCTCTATCCTCTTTCTTCTGCTGGTTATTTGGTTTTAGTGACTTTTTAAATCAAGTTTACCCAAGTTGCGAGTGGTTGTGTGAATTCTTATTTTGTCGTTGCAGTTTAACCAGCATGCCAATTGTCCTGGGTTTCTGGCCTAATGCATTGATAACTATCTCCACGACAAGCAAGGCATGCAGGCTTATTGAGTTTACCAGCATACTGGACACAGAGTTAATGGAATTTCATCATACACACTTTGTAAATCTGAGAAATAGCAAATTAAATGAATGATCCATTTTGAAAGGTATTCTGAATATTCAGTTATCTTTTATAAGTATTTTTTGATCATCTCAAATCACTCATATATTAAATGTATTGCTAATTGATACAGGTTATTTATTCCCACATTCAATGAAACAACTTCAACACTAAACAGCTAAAAGAGAAAACTATTTTTCAGTTGTAACACTAAATAACATTAATCCAAATTTTGAAAATTTATTAAAGTAACAGGGTTCAAAGCAGAATTTCAACTTTTCTTTATTAAGACACAATTTAAGTTCTATTAACTGTCATCAGATTGTTTTATTTCAAAATAATCAAGACTAACTTTGAAACTACCAATTCAATTAATTTTTAAATTCAGAACTTTGTTAACCAAGAGTTCAAATTATTTAAAAGAAGAATGACCATTAGTTGATTCAATATTTTGGTATGACTATTATTATTATGTAAGAAAACAGAAAAGACATTCCAACTCCAACTATTCATAGAAAAAAAAGAGTATAGACCATACATATAGGCACACAATGACACCTTTTGTACTTATTCCAGCAACTTTGACCAAAAAACATTCATATTTCTAAATACTTTTAGTAACTGTCTCTTTGGGTTACAAGCTGCTCTATTTATCAACCATTTAAAAGATAAAGAAACATTCTACTGATATCATTTTTTTAGAAAAGCATTCTACATTAACCGACACTGATTAAATTTGAATTGTAGAATGAAGTCCATACATAATATTAAAACAAGAACAAATGAATATATAAAATAATAATAATAATAATAATTAGTATTTTTACAAAGTTAAAATATGACACATTTTGGACCAGACCGAACTGCCAGATCCTGTCGTAGCTGTAAGGCAACAGTTTACCATACAGCCACGAGGACGACGGCAATCTTTACAAGAACTAACCCAAAACTACAAACTAAGCCGAATGGACACAATAATTGCAAACCATTCTGAGTAAATACAAAGCATGCAAGTGTTTGCATATAAGAAATGCAAGAAATTTCATCATAGCTCCATCTGACGTATCATGTTTTTATATTAACATGTATACATATATATAATTGATTCATTATATACACATACACATATGTAACATGCAGAATTGAAATACTAACCTTTATGTAATACAGCATTAGCTGGTTTATTTCCAGCTAGTGACTCTTTTGATAGATGTTGATGAGATTCAGCCAAACATTCTAATTCTGCAAATCTGTTTTATAAAAATAAAAATCAATTATCAAACTGTCTGAAATGGGAAAACAATTTCCTTAAGTTCATACAATGCTATTTTCAAAACTAAATCTAATGTTAATCAAATTTAATGGTTATTGGATTTAATTTTTAAAATGGTTAAATTGCATTATCTGTTCTTCAACATGCACAATAAACAATAATAATAAATTAAGATCAATGTTTCTTTTAAAAATATTCTTAGAAGACAAAGACAAATTGGAATCTTCATAATTTCTCTTGTATGCCATACAAACGTGAAAAATCAACAGTGTAGACTTCCTTTCAGAAAACTTACATATTTAGGACAATGAAGAGTCCATAAAGAAAGATTGCCTCTGTAATACGAGTTTACCTTCCCATGGTGAGAAAGGGACAAATTGTGAAGATTCCAATTTTTTTTGTTTATTGTTCTTATAAATTAGAAAACAAATGATTTAATGTAAACACCATAAAAATAATTTTATACATTCTCATTATATAATATTTGTTCTGTGTTCTTTAAAAAAATTTCAGGTAAAATTTGAAAATTTGTGTTGGAAAAAAATGACAGCCAGGATTTCACAAATTTTCAATATATAAAATATAAAAGCTAAATTTAAAAATTAATCCGTTCTGGCTCAAATCGTCAACTTTCTACTTTTAAGTATGGCCGACATCAAAGTAGTTTTTTGCTTATTATTAAAAAACACCAATTCATTTAGTGTTTATAAATATGAAGTTTTAATTGCACGATGGTATGAAGAAGTTTTTATTTTTTAAATTAACAAGTTAAAATAATCACATTTCATTAATGAAATTAATATAATTTTCAATTTTCTCATATATTTACCTTGCATTTAAGGCCATTGCTGGATGACTGGGGTCTTGGGCAAGATTTAAATAAGCAGCTCTCCGTAATTGTTCTTCGATGACTAATGCTTGTTCCAGTAACTGTAATTATAACAAACTATTTTTAACATGATAAACTTAATAATAATAATAATAATCTGTATAAATAAATTTTTCAACAACACAAGTATGGCCAGTAATATGCTATAAATCTACAATACCCAAGAAATAACCAAAATATATAAATTTTGGTTTCTACATTATTTTGTAGAAAGCAGATGTATAAAAAATTAAAATGTCAAAAATTTGAAAGAATATGAGAGTATAAATTTAAATGCAATCTATTACGGAACGGCATACTCTGAACATGGCAGATTTGGAGTCAAAAACATTTAAAGGTATTGTCAATTAAATATTTGAAGTAATCCAACTATTAAAGTTAAAACAGAAAATTTCTGATTTAATTTGATGCATTGTTTATATAAAATTAAGTTTAATTTTTTTAACACCTATGATATGTTTTCTCCAAGCTACCCTATTTGCTGATGCAGCCTCGAAGTTAATTTCATTAAGCATATCGGGATCTTTTCATAAAATCAGTTCTCTAGATCTGCCAGTGCAGCCAGAAATAGGAATTTCTCGCCTTTACCTCAATAAATCAATTCATTTAACTAGAGTTTCCAAACTTTCAACGAGGAACTACATACAAATGGAAGACTTGTTCTGTAGATAGAGGTTGGGAACATCCCATTACATCTACACTGCAGGAAGAATTCCAGTTTGCAAGTTGCCTTAACTATTCAAAGAACTATTTCCTCCGTAGACTGACTGGTGTCGTCATACAAACTTATTCTTGGAGTTTTAATAATCATCCGTTATTCATTCGGGATTGTGTTTTAAGTTCAAGCGGATCGAGTAATCATTTATAGCTGTTATATTTACAATTTCTATCAATGACAGTGGAATATTTTACAAGTGAAAACCGTAAAATACAATTTAACAACTCACACCAGGCACATTTTAATAAGAGCAAAAGTATATCTTTTTTTTTTTTATAATGTTTTCAAACACTCATGTTGATATTATCAGCTCATTCAACACACAACATTCTAAACTGAGAAAGAATGGAGAGGAATTAGTGTTTTTCAAATCAGATGACATTTTTGCTCATTATATGTCAACTACTGTGGGATAGGAATCATCTTCATACACAAAGAATATGTGTTATTTTAAATACAGTATTTTTTTCCTTTTCTCAAATTATTATAAATTATAATTATTTCTTTAATTTTTAAGAATATTACATAGTTTAATAGCAATATATCTAAATTTACTGCTTGTATATATTCTATATATAAAGAAGAAAAAATGTACTACCTTAAATCTTCTTGCAAGGAATTTATTTTTGATTTCTAAGAAATTTCCTTTTCCCACATCCATTTTAAACGGCTCATTGATGATGGCAAACACTGGATCGTTCTGTATGTCTTGCCAACGACCGTAACCGTGTCTTTTGGCAGGTTAAGAATTACAAAGGTTTTTTGCAATATTAAATGTAATTTGAAATATTCTTTTTAAAAATTATTACATGCATGTAATAAGATGACATTATTTAACAACAATAATCTTGTACTTTAATTTTATAATAGGTAAACATTACACAATGAGAGCTTTTTACACTGTACATTACTGTTATGAAAAGCTTTTTTGTAATTGTAATATTTGTTTTTAAAATTTTTACTATAATAGTTTTTTTTAATGATTATTTAATTATATTCTAGATCAGTGGCATGCAAACTGTTTGCATGCCACTGATCTAGAATATAATTAAATAATCAGAGTCGTGACCCCTGGAGGGACACGAAAAAAATTATTTTTACATGTTCAAATAAAGCAGCCACGATTGCTAAAAAATCTCATTAAATTTGCATTCTAAAACTGTCTTATTGTAGCTATTATTAAAAATCTGCATAACTCCAAATGTTTGTATTGAATTCAAAACATCAGCATTATTTTTTCATACAAATAAAATATTTACTCCCACTTAACATTAAACCTTATCTACAAGTTAAATTTAATTAATAACAAAACTACACACACAGGATACCAAAACACCACTAAAAGGAATAAAAATATTTACATATACAGACAGGCCAAAAAACATTTGTACGTGTAAATATTTTTATTCCTTTCACTGGTTATTTTTGGTATTTGGTGTGTGTCATTTTATTCTGAACAACCAGTAGTGAGAATGTTTTTAACAATAAAATCACTTATTGTAAGTTATGCCTCTATTGAAAGTTTTACAAATGAAATACTTTCTGGAATTAATAGTTAATATATTATAAAAACACGACATATTATCACAATTCGGCCACTGTCGATTAAATACGACAAAAATCATTGGACAGTGAAGGATACTTCACGATTCCGGCGAGCAACCAGTAATCGTGTCTTCTGTGCCAAATTTCGTATTCTCTTCCGGGAACTGCCGCCCTCTCTTCGTTTTGCCATAGCGTGTGCAATTCTGTAAATCCGCCATCTGCAATGTTAAACATAAATTTGCGTTTTGGCTTATTATGTTGCTGATCTAATTGATCTAACTGCGACTGATCTTTGGTTTCGATATCTTTGGTCTTATCGTCGTCTTTCTCTTCTTTGTCTTTATCTGACGGTTCTTTCTTGATTTCTAAAATAAAAAAAGTTAAAGCACATCTCTAACTTAGTGATTTTGTAAACAAATTGACGAAGACGATATCTGAAAAGTTTCTTCCATGAAAAGTGTGTGATGAGATTTCACATAATGTTTATAAACATTTACATATTCTCTATCTGTGATAATTTAGTAAACATCTAACTGAAAATTTATTTCAGTCGGTCATTAAATTCAATCTATAAAAAAAATTACTACTACTTCAAAATGATAATAATTACATAAATATTTTATATTGCAATATATCGTTATGTAAATATTTATTAAAGTTATGTAACGAATCTTGTACATTAATAAACTTAAGTTCATAAAAACAACAGTGTAAACAAAAAAATAAACTGCAACATAAAAAGAATTTAGAACAACACATTTTTTACATTTTTTTTAGACTTTTTCAATTTATTTATATCAAATGAAGAAGATAGTTCATTTTAAAATGCCACCGTTCAAATTTCCACTTTATTAATCGACGGGCTCGGCAGAACAACGGCATATCCCGCATTAGGAAGTTTGAGAAAAAGAAGGATGTATGTTTCAGTTCACTAATGCTTTAATATGCAGTATTTTATTAATGCGAATCCATGAGACAAACAACAGAGCTGTAAGAGTTTCTTTGAAGCTGGATGGACGATGCACAAATCCAAGTCCATTAATTTTTTTTTAGTAGTTTTGAAGTGTATGCTGCTTTTCCACCGAGCCCCTTGATTCTCAGAGTATTACTTATTTCTGTAACGGATTAAAAAATATATAATACAAAAAAAATTTGAAATTAATAAACCAAAACTATTAATTTATATCATTGGTTTGTCTATAGGCATAGAGGAAAGCATGTTACAGATTCACATTAAACACTTCCTGTTTAATTTTGCTTACAATGAATGATTTTGTGAATTTAAATTTATTATGTTTGAATATTTATATATGTAATATTTTAATAATAAAACAGTTTAAAATTTCACTATGTTTTAAAAAAATAATAATAATTAATTAAATTTAAAATTTTTATAAATTTATTTTATACAGCATATATAATTTCAATATTTTCTACAAGTAATACATAAAAACAAATCATCAAAATTTTGACTTCCCCTCTAATAGTTTTTTTACATCTGCCTAGAATCCTGCAGTGCATTATTACAAAAATTGCAGAGGTTTCATAACAGAAATTGAGAGATTTTCAGGACAAACTTATCTAGTGCTAACAGATGAAGAAAAGATGAACTAAATAAGAAGTTTTACTAAAACAAATGTAAATGTTGAAATGCCAAGTATATGATATAATCCACAAAAATAAAATTAGATCTTAATTAATAGCTAGATTCAATTTCATTTTATTTGACGAAATTGCTATCGGAATGGAGATTTTTATTTCCGGACAGGCTCGCAATAACATCTTATAAGAGATGTCGCTAATGTCCGAGAGAGTTATTCCATTCCACATTGTGCAATCATTATCACAAGTCATTTATATTCAGAACATCACATTTGCTACACTATTTTTACACCAATTAAGCATCACATTATTGGTAACGTTTGTAAAGAGAAGATTCGTCGATAGATTAATATCTGTAATTTCATTGTCAGTGCTAAAATCCATCAAATGTATTAAAGGTTTTGACTATAGAATCATAATAGTGAAAACAACAACAACCCGTACGCAGTACTAAAGTTTTAGTTCTTTCTCTGAGAAAACTTTCTTATGGAATAAAGACATTATGAAATTTTAATAACTAATCTGTCCAATAAAATATTGAAATTCTGTTTCATTTAGTCCAGAGGTTAATGATATCCTCAAGGATTATTATTATTGTTTTATACTGTATTAATGCAAAACTGAATTCTATAATAATTTAAAATGAAATTAAATCAGAACAAAGAGAATGTCATCTTTAGTTTGGTCTTATTAGGAAAATGTTATATTGTATTTTTCTTACGATAAATATTAGTTCTTATTAGTAAATGTTAATTTTACAATATATTAAATGCATACGATTTTGGAAGACTTAATATGCAAATAGCCAGCCAATCAATAGTGTCAAGGAGGTTTAGAGTGGTGACAAGCTAAGTCAAGTTTTCACTCATGAGAGCATGTTTTCTGGAAAGGGATGGTTGGCGTCATCTTGGACAAGTTGAGACAGGTATGCCAACCAAAGCAGACCTGATAGAAAGCTCAGCTAAGCTCCTGATTGGTTGGCCAACAGATCTAGAACTTAGATATAAGGCAACATGACCATTGGAACAGGGAATCTAGCCTAAGTTCAAGCAAGAGATATTGCTGTGTATTGTATTGTACATAGTTATCAAATAAACGGACTTACACTGAGTTCAGGGAGTCTTAAGGTGTTCTTTTTGTCAGACTGAAAACGGACAGCACAATTTGAACTTTACTAACAGAATAAACTAATTTTGAATTTTCCGATGGTTTAGCTGTTTTATATGTTGATTTAGTGAACGTCTCTTCAATCCGAAAAAAGTACCATATAAGTGTGAAAATCAGATCATATGAAACTCATGGAAACTCTTAAGCACTGAGGAGGAGCTAGTAAATTAGCCTAGCTTGAAATGCATCTGTAAAAAACAATAAAAGGAGTTTATAACCTGAATTAGCTGTGAGGTAGTCTACCAGAAAGATTTTTCCGGATTGAAGAGACGTTCACTAAATCAGAATAAACTAACTCTTAAATTTAACCTTAAAATTTCATTACAACAGCATTTATATATTTCATAAAGTATAGAAAGTATGTTTATAATTGAAATCTTTTAGACAAATCCATATCATCTCTCTTTAACACTGCAATAAAATTGCCCTCTTTCTGTCATAATTTTAAAAAATTTTATTGGTAAAACCTTATGTATACACTGCCTAATGAAAGAGAGTATGATCAAAAGTACTCAGACACCTATGCAGAGTAATTAATATTTCATCTACATATTGGCATATATTTGATGGCTACAAGTCACATAAATAGATTTTTTTAGAAGTATTTAAGTATTCTCAATGAAGTGGATTGTATGGCATTGCTTGGAAAGGAGTCTGAGAAACGTCTGCCTCCTTAGGTACCGTGATCAACTATTAGTGCTACAGACATTACCACAATACTGGTATAATGCATGGCTAGATGTCTGAATATAAGGATTAATTAAAGAACATTGGTATACAATTTGTAATGGGCTTTACACCATGCTGCTGGCTAGTTTTGCAGCTGGTAACAATGTTCAGATTGAATTTGGTAAACCATGTCCCCTCACTACCATAAAACACCACTGACGATCCAGCCCATCTCAAGTATCTTTAATTTAATTAACAGATTGAAATAGCCACTGCCTCTTTTGAAGGCCTTGTATAATTAAAAGGAGGTGGACTCTATTTCGACAGTGTGGCAAGCATTATAAAAGTTTGCATAATTCTTGGCAATATCTTATATATAAGATACTAGCAGACCCTGCCACGTGTTGTTGTGGCTTAAAATGTATCTATTATAAATGTATAATACATCCCCCATGGAGGGGAGAACATTTTTCAAAAAATCCCTTCTTATTGTACATTCTCTTGACATACCCTATTAAAATGCAATCAAAAATGCAAAAAATTGCATCTAAAATAGTATAATAGAAGCCAAGTTCTTCATGGTAAACCTTAATCATGTCCATCTCCCCCAGTGGAGGAAATTTCGACACGTATATTATATAAAAACACATGCGTATTTGAATGCAGCGTTGTGTCAAAATTTCAAAGGAATCAGTAGGAACAAACAAACATTACATTTTTATTTATATAGATAGATAGAAGATGATCTGCTTTAGTTCATCCTCACAGAAAAGCAAACTTAGGGCATCATACTCGTAGGACAAAAGCTTTAACCCTAGGTACAATCATATCTGCTGGACATAAAAGCCTTAACCCTAGATGATATCTTTTAATTTATATGAATGTTTAACGGAATAATATACAGCCTATGTCCATCCTGAAGTTCCATTGTAAATATTGGTGAAAGAATTTTTGAAATCGGATGAGTAGTTTCAGAGATTAGCCCTTGCATACAAACTTATAAACATTACCTTTATAATATTAGTATATAGATATATATTTTAATATTTCTTGGCAATATTAAAATATTTGTTACATGTATTTTATTTGATCGTCAATCCACTATGTTACTTCCGTACTGTACATGCACGCATTAGTGATGGTTTCATTTTTTTAAATTTGTAATTATATTCTATTTTCCGGATTTTGATTGTATTTTTTTCTAACTTGAAGTTGTCCATTTGAAACACAGGAAAACATTTTTCTTTAAAATATATCCATTTTTCCTAATTATTGGCATCTAGGTGTACTATGCTGTTCGTCACATGGAAACACAGCAGTCACAATCTGACAAAAATGACAAACTGGAACTGCAAGTGACAAAGCAGATAGTAGTGTGTGAAAATTGCCTTTCTTCAGTTGCAACACTTGAGGCCATATCCACTAACATCATTTTAAATTGAGAAGTTTTGTAGTCCTAGATTTTAAGCTGAACTCTAGATTAAACATTGCTTTACTTTTTTATTTGTCAACCAGTCTAAAATTGGATTATGTAATCCTCAAATTAAAGTAAACAGCAATTACAAGTTTCCCAATTTGTCAAATGCACCATGATGTGCCTGTGCAAATTGTCATTTGCAAACTAAGCAGGCAATTCTAAAAACTTTTACCATTAGAAGCTACTGTCTACTAAAAGAAAAACTGTAATGTTGAGACGGAAGTGTCATCACTATTAATTATTAGAATTGTTTTAGTTTTACGATAAAGTTACGTAGAAAATAAAAAAAAATGCAGTAACATATATAGATACAGAATATAACAGTTATCCAGGAATTATAACACCATAAAATAGTAAGCAACAATGTTTTCTCTAAACTGCGTGGCCGCGCACTGCTCAAATTGTTGTTTACTTATTTCTCACTGTCTGCGACATGATTATTGATACGTA